TGTTTCAGGAAAGAGGCCGCCGCCAAACAAAAGGCCAAATTAATATAGCATTCATTTCTAACTTCCGTTCCATCTTTCATTCAGATTGGGAATAAAGCAAACATTTCAATATATTTCAATGCATAAATTTGATATCTGAATTGCCTCCAACCGGTGCCCACAAATTTCCTACTTGTGTACCACTTTTTATCGCATAAGTTATTTTCAAAATTGATATATACTTTTATCTATCCAGGCTTGTCTGCTAATTACGCTGAGGGCAGAATTTAGAATTTGCCCTCTATCTCGCTATTTGACAAGCAAAAACAACTTCCTCTGACCCAACGGATCTCACAAAGAGGAAAATTCCCATTTTACACTGACAAGTTTTTTGTTATTTTTTGTTGGCACGCAACGGACGCCAGATCTCGATCCCTGAGCCATCATTCGAAGGGCACAATGTATTCCACCGGCCAACATAGACCGGCCTAATATACAGGCAAGAGTAGTTCTAAAAGATTTATCCACCATGAATAAACTTCTTTAAAAGAAAGTAGCCCCACCCAATCTTGATCGTCCCGGCCGCTTTGACGGAAGAGATGGTGAGGAAGAGCAGAGGAGAGAAGGTTATAACCTGTGAGATGGAAAGGAGGCTGTTTATCAAAGCTGTATTCACGCCAGATCGCATTAAGTGATGAATGACTTATTGGTAAGTTTTCGCGAACTTACGTTTCCATTGAATTTTGCATAGCCATGCTGTCCAAACGGTGTTCTCCTTCCGATTGAACTGCAGTTTCTAGCTTATGCGACCGAGAGTGAATTCAACGCTTATTCTAGCTTATCTGATAGTTTCAAAACCTACTTTATAGGAATATAAGTAGTATGGTTGATTCTAATTCCAAACACAGCATTGCTTCATCAGCAACCTGACCACTCAAGAAAGGTGATATGTTAAAGGCCTGGATTTTCTCTAAATTCGCATTTGTCATGTTAACAGGAAGCAGTCATGGCAACACGTAGAGATTGTACCATAAACCGGGTTCAGGTCCTGCTAGGAATGTTGATGAAACGCTGGATAAGTGAAAAAATGAGGCCTACTCATGTGATTTGCACTACTTATAGGCTTGAAATGCTTGTTATTAGGCGAACCAGTGTGCCATTATTGTCGTCTCCTGGCGACTGACTTACCCACGTCTGGCTTGTCATCATCGTATCTCTCCAGGTCGGCCAGCATCACGTCTCGCCGATTCTGTGATTTCCGCTTGGACCCGTGCTCGGTCGGATTGGTCGACAGGCTCCACTCTGCCCCGGCAGTCTGCAGTTGACTTGCGCGGCGTTCGGAGGGGAGTTCTGCAAAGGCATTTCTCTGGGTCCGGTCGTTGAGGGCTCCAGGCCAACTAGACGCTTGGGAATATCCAAAAAGGCACGAGAACACAAAGCACAGTAACAGCGCCTCAACTCGATGGCCGGTCGACGAGGCTAGAACGTCCATCATGCCATCGAGGCGAGTTGGACGGAGGCGAGGTACAGCCGATGGCATCGGCAAGGCGACCGGGTGGGCATAGCTCAGCTGTTGTAGCCCATAGCCGTGGCGGCACTTGCCTCAGACTGAGCAGAGGCGAGAAAAAATAATCTCGAGATAAGGCAAACTCCGGTTGGCATGAGAAGCAAGTGAGGATAACTTCGTGAGCTGAGAGGCATTTGGTGCTTCATCTGGTGTCTCCAAATCAGAAGACCCACTCCACCAATCACGTGAAAGACAGGTCTAAAGCTCAGCCAATCGCCGAGCGCAAAGCGTTTGCCAATGCCAGCCTATTGCTTCACATTTGGCGGAAATTTGCATGTGTTTAGCTGGTTAGCCAGACGAAACAGCTGATTTAAATAATATTGCCATGAGTGGACATTCATTAGATTTTACAAATTTCTCTGACTCACAATTGCAGGAGGAAGGACTTTACTAGACGACACATTTTAACACCCAAAGATATATATGTTTTTAGTGTAAGCAGAGAAATTCCATTAAAATTGCATTTGTCGAGTTAACCTCCATTTCGAGTAAAAGCGTTGGATGAAGAGAC